CCCCCTCTCTCCCCCCCAGCGGGCTTGTGTGAGCACTCAGCCCACCCCGGCTGGGGTGTATGCCACAGACGGTCGCAGGTCTCGTCCGCTCTTGCGTTGGACACCCACGAAAACTTGGTGGGAGAGACTCGGTGGACAGGACGTTGGGCGTGGACCGGTCGTCCGGGTCCCACGGTCCCAAGGGGATGTCCCCATGTGTGTATGTGTGTGTGCGTGGTGTGCCTGTGTCCAAGCTCTTGTGGCCCGCGGGAACGGGCGGATTGTATGCCATGGCGGTGTTCATTGCCTGCGTTTGTGGTTGTGTTGCTCGGAGGAGTCTTTCTGGCACGCAAAGGGGTTGTTGCTGTGGAGGCTTCGGCCGAGGATTGTGGTTTTCTTAGAGGGAGGGTTCGTTCGTGGGTGCTTGGAGCGCAGGGAGGTTGTTGGTGCCGCGGGTGCGGCGGAGTTGGCTTTTGCAGTCGTTCCGGCGGCGGCGGCCACGATGCGGGTGTTTGGAACGCGTGTGCGCGGTCCGGGATGTGGGAGATGTTCAAAAGGAAATGTTTTTGGTGCTTTTGGCCTTGCTGTGGTGTCGGGCAGATGCGGCTGCGGCCAGATCTCAATGGAGGAGATCGGAGACGCCCCGGTCAGAAACTGAGGAAATACCGGGAGGAAACAGTGTCTGAGGGATTCCGGGGATAAAGAAAGGTCAAAAGCAGATATCCCGCGCAAAAAAATGTAGAAAAATGGAGAGAAACTTGATTGTTGACGATGAAGATGGAAGAGGATGTTCTTCTGAAGGGCTGAGGGAGACGTGTCTTTTGTAGTTTGGGCGCTGACGAGCTCTGGACGCTAAGGGGGTTCCGCTAGAAAGAGTTGGGGCTAAGTGCCTTAGGGGGGGACAAGTGATTCGTCCCAGGGGCTTCAGGCGTCCAGCCGCCCAGGTTTGTTGTGAGCCAGTCATTTTGCCAAGCCCCAACTTTATGCCAGCCTGATGCCTCGTTGTATCGAGGCATGCAAGGACTTGACAGCGAGAATGAGGCATTTAATGCCCTGTCAGTGCCCGATGGATGCTTCGGAGTGCGCGGAATCAGGTTTTGGAAGTGAGGTGGCGCGAAGCTGCGTCGTTCCGCAGGCATTTATTGGGTGCCTCGCTCGTTGGGCAGAGGGAACGTGCCTCGTACTCTCTGATGCATGCGTTTATTGGGGGCCTCACTTGTTGGGCAGAGGGAGCGTGTCTCGACTCCCTGCCGTGTCTCTCTATAAAACCCTCAAAGTGCCCGAGCCAAGGTCAGCAATGGGGCATGGCGCGATGCTGAATCATTCCGCTGGCCTTCATTGGGGTGCCTCACTCGTTGGGCTGAGAAGACATGTCACTTTGTTTCTGGTCCACGTCGTTCATCCTTGGTGTGTCCCTGCCGTGTCGCTCTATAAATCCCTCAAAGTGCCCGATCCAAGGTCAGCAGTGGGGTATGGCGCGATGCTGAATCGTTCTGCAGGCCTTCATTGGGGTGCCTCACTTGTTGGGCGCAGGGCCGTTCCCTCTGATCCATGACGTTCATCTTTGGTTGTGTCTTTGCCGTGTAACGAGATAAATATCTCAAGGCGCCCGAGCCAAGGTCGATGGTGGGGCATGGCTCGATGCTGTGTCGTTCCGCTGGCGTTCTTTGGAGTGTCTTGTCTGTCCGGCGGAGGGAAGGTGTCTCATACTCTCTGTTCCATGGCGTTTGTCTTTGGTGGTCTGTCTTGCCTGTCAGGCGGAGGGTACGTGTCTCATACTCCCTGTCTCATACTCCCTGTCTCATACTCCCTGTCTCATACTCCCTGTCTCATACTCCCTGTCTCATACTCCCTGTCTCATACTCCCTGTCTCATACTCCCTGTCTCATACTCCCTGTCTCATACTCCCTGTCTCATACTCCCTGTCTCATACTCCCTGTCTCATACTCCCTGTCTCATACTCCCTGTCTCATACTCCCTGTCTCATACTCCCTGTCTCATACTCCCTGTCTCATACTCCCTGTCTCATACTCCCTGTCTCATGCTTTCTGGTTCGTGGCGTTCGTCTTTGGCGGTATGTGTTGCCTGTCTTTGGTGATGTACCTGTCTTTGGTGGTGTACCTCTCTTTGGTGATGTTCCTCTCTTTGGTGATGTACCTCTCTTTGGTGGTGTACCTCTCTTTGGTGATGTGCCTCTCTTTGGCGGTGCGTGTTGTCTGTCTTTGGTGATGTGTCTTGCCTGTCAGGCGGAGGGATGGTCTCATACTCTTTGGTCCATGCGTTCGTCTCTGTTGATGTGCCTTGCCTGTCTTTGGTGGTGTGTATTGCCTGTCTGTTCTGATCTATCTTACCCGTCAGCCGGAGGGAACGTGCCTCACACTCTCTGATTCATGGCGTTCGTCTTTGGCGGTGTGTTGCCTGTCTTTGGTGATGTACCTCTCTTTGGTGGTGTGTGTTGCCTGTCTTTGGCGGTGTGTGTTGTCTGTCTTTGGTGGTTTACCTTGCCTGTCTTTGGTGATCTGTCTTGCCTCCCTTTGGTGATCTGTCTTGCCTCTCTTTGGTGATCTGTCTTGCCTCCCTTTGGTGATGTGCTTTGCCTGTCTTTGGTGGTCTGTCTTGCCTGTCAGGCGGAGGGAACGTGTCTCACACTCTCTGATTCATGGCGTTCGTCTCTGGTGATGTGTCTATGCCGTGTGACTCGATAAAAGCTTCAAAGCGCCCGAGCCAAGGTCGTTGATGGGGCATGGCGCCACGCTGAATCGTTTCGCAGCCGTTTATTGGACTGTCTTGCCTGTCAGGCAGGGGGGAACGTGTCGTCTTGTCTCTGATCTGATACCGTCGGCAAGGGCGAAAGGCACTACGCATTGATGATGGATCCAGACCGTGTAACACCATGAGTGTTTCGAGGAGTCTAGATTCAGGTCTGGAGAGGGGCGTGGCGTATACGTGCATCGCTCCGGTGGTATTTTGTTGGGGGATCTAGGCTGACACTGGCCATCAGAACGTATCACACTCAGCACTTTCCCCCCTCGCCGGCCGCGTCGGGCGTCGGGCGTCGGGCGTCGAAGGTGTGAACATGCGGTGAGCCTCAATGATTACTGCAAGGCGTCCAGACTCCGCCTCCTCGGGTGGGGCCTGGCGCTTTGTTGCGTTGTTCCTCGGGCGGTCGTTGGGGGGGAGGGAGGAGGGGGGCTCTTTGGCTGTCACCGTATCCCTGAGCCACCCTCATTGACTAGATTGCCTGTCACTTGAGCACTTTGGTTATTATCGGAGGCTTCATTTGCCGATGGGACAACATTGCTTGGTCATTGGAGAGATACCGAAATCCTTCGCTGCCATTTTGAGTCTCTGTCGAAGAGAACGTGGCGTTTTTCCACCCACACTGTCCCCTTTCCCCTGTCCGTTGGAGTCCACCCAGCCAGCAACCCGACCCTGCTGCCCTTCCCCGTCCTCCCTCAGAGACCATTAGTTGTCTCCGGGCCCTGCTGCTTCGCTCTCCACCGTGCCAGCGACGAATTTCTCAAATTCTGCGAACTCCAAAGCATCAGCGTGATGCTTCTGTGGAAGTTGATGATATGCTGCATCACTTGGATGTCATGCTCATTGCTTGTCACTTCGTGACTCATCTCTTGCATGAGGGCCAACGCCTGTGATTTTGTCAAGGGTGGCACATCGTCGGGACTGATACCCGCCGTGGTCGCCTGTGCAGTCTCCAGCGCTTCAGTCACCCGCTCAAGCTGTGTAACGGCAGCAACAGCGGCGCTGCGCTCTTTTACCATCTGGATGTCCAGATTCTCAATCTGTTTGTTGGTGTTGCGAATGCGCTCTGCCCACGTGGCAATATCAATTTGTAGCCATGCTCTGGCGTTCTCATCGATCAGTCCATCACCGTCGGTGGAAATACTCGTGGTGAGGCCATAGAAACTCCGCAAGTAATCGGGTTTCTTTTCCATTTTAGCACAGCGTAGGCCTGTCTAAAGAAAGATTCTGCCTACCGGGACCAAGGGGGGAGTTTTCTTTAGCCATGCCTCGCCCTGGGTTGCCTGGCCCTGGGGGGTTCCTCGCTGGACGGCCTCGTTCGCAGCTTGACCGTACATAGTTCTCAAGTGGTTGCATCCCTTGTTATTTCCTATGTCAGCACAGCGTAGGGCTGTCTAAAGACAGATTCTGCCTACCGGGACCGAGGGGGGAGTTTGCTTGAGCCATGCCTCGCCCTGGGTTGCCTGGCCCTGGGTGATTCCTCGCTGGGCGGCCTCGTTCGCAGCTTGACCGTACATAGTTCTCAAGTGGTCGTATCCCTTGATGTTTCCTATGTCAGCACAGCGTAGGTCTTTCTGAAGCAAGATCCTGCCTACCGTGTTCTTTGGCGGACGGCCCTGACGAGGATCCGTCGTGGGGCACTATCCACGATTAGTACCACGAAGCATGGTCTGCAACGAAGATCATACCTGGGACAAAACCATTTTGGATGCTTGATCTGTATCGTGGAGCCGGCACGGTCAATGAGGTTGTGTGATGAAGTGTTGAAAGAAGAAGAAAGAGAAGAGGGCTGTGAATTCTGGGTGAGGCAGGAATATATACTGGCAGAATACGAGGTCGCACAAGGCCCTTGGTTAGGCAGCAATGTGTTTCAACTACCGCCGACTCGCATTATCTCTCGCCTTGGAAAGAAACAAGTAGCGGAACGTCATCATGCAGTCGATTCAGGCCCACCCAAGGCCAATGAAATGGCAGAACTACAAGTGCAGGTCCCAAGTAGAGCAATAATAATGCCAAAATCATGGGGCTGTGCGGTTGTTGCAAGCAAAAGTTATCAGAATGGTCGGAATGGATGCGGTTTGGTGGGCGGGTGTGTCTGCAGGACAAACATCGATGCATTTATTCAAAAGGGGGAGTTTGTAGTGTTGAAGATGGTTGCAGAGAGATACGGGGAGTGGCATTGGGGGTTATGGGCGTTACTGGTGGATGTTTAGGTGTGATTGGAGTGCTAAAGGGTGGAACTATCCGAGGGAAACTTGGTAGTAGTTTGATGGGGGGTTGATAGAGAATTATTGGATGGGTTTGGTGGGTGTTTTGGTGTAATTATTCGAGGGAGAATTTGCAGTGTTGTAGGGAGTTGATGGGGTGTTATGGGCTGTATTAGAGGGTGTTTTGGTGTAATCATTCAGGGGAAGTCGTGGGTTTGGAGTTGATGGGGGCTTATTGGCGTTGTTAGTAGGTCTTTGGGTGAGTTTGGGCGACCGAGGACTGGCAAAGGGTGCTGGTGGTGCTGGACCAAGTAAAGTATCAAGGGAGCATTTGGCAGGTTGAAAGTGGTTGCGGAGAGGCCGCTGTTGGTAGGTCTTTGGGGTGTGTTTAGGTGTATTTGGGGTGCTGATGAGTGCCCAAGGGTACAATATTAGGGGCACGCATGTTAGGCGCATGCTTCACGCATGCTTTTCGCGTGCGAATCGCATGCGTTTCGCATGCGCATAATAAAACCACGCGATTCGCATACGAAACGCATGTGTTCCGCATGGTTGTCGCAAGCGTTCCGCATGCGATTCGCACTGGTCGGGGAGGGTGATGCTGACAACATCAGCAAACATGGATGCTTACATAATCCCATCGTATCCTGTGGTTAACCCCCCCCCCCCCCCCCCCTTCGCGGTATTCCCTCTCACCACCAGGCAGGCAGTCCATCACGGCGAACAAGTCAACACCATTCATCGCAGGGAGAGACGTTCGCAGCCTCGTACGGTCATTGCTATTCCCAGCACTGACCCTGGAACCCAACAATATACACACTGACTACTTGTTGGCAGCCAAAGAGAGTGCGAGGGCGCAAGAAAACGCGTCGACCCTGTCTGATAGTGCCAGTCGGCGGCATTGTATCACGTGTATTCGGAATTGTCTCGGTTTCTCTTGGAATTGGAGTCGCTGCCAAGAGTTGGAGTGTCAGTCAAGAATTGGAGTGGCAGAGATCTTGGCGTGTCGTGTTTCCCCTCACGGCCAGCCCCCGAGGCCTCCCGAGACACTCGGCAGCACTCGGCATCTTGACTGTTCCGTTCCTTGTCCGGAACTCGTCGACGCTGATTGGCGGAAATTGAGCAACGTGAGCGTCTTCAAGTACTTCTACCACTTCTACGTGCCTGGTCGACAGTAATCACGGCAAATCACATCGGGAGCACTCATTGCTATTGCTACCAACACTGTGGACCTATGAAAAACCACGTCCCCTTGATCGTGGCTTGGACATCTGGGTCATCACCACCAAAGAATCTGGAGATGGTGTCACGCTCGACCCTCCGCTATTCTTCTTCTGCCAGGGCACCATTGGGGCCGCGCTCCCCCGAGCCGTTCAAAGTCGACGCCTCCTCAGTCTCGGCCGTGGCTGCTTCGGCAGAGTGGACGTGTGTGCCGTTGACAGCAACGACGCCGTTGGTGTTGGCCTGCTGGGCAAGCCTCGCAGCGTACACGCTCCGCTGGACCAAACCCTCGGCCATCTGGGTCACGGAGGCCATCATGTCCTGCAGTTTACCGTTGGACGCGGCCATTTGATTGCACATCATGGACAGATCGTCCCCGTTCCTGCCCGCGTCTTTCTCGATCTGCAGCAGTTGAAGCATAAGGTTTCTGCCCCGTCCCAAAGCCATCTGGGCTCGCTGAAGGTGGAAAAGGCTCTCGTGGACAAGATAGTGATGGACCATTTGGGTTTGGCTCATGCCTCCCGGGCGTGGGTAACCATCGCAGCGGAAGTTGTCGCCGTTGTTGCTGCGGTTGGGAATGGGGGCCATGGTGTTTCGTCGCTGGTTTCGTCCGAGGGTCACCTGCTTGCCGGCGTCATTTCCTGCCGGCGGCTTCGGTCGCGGGATTGCAGGATTGCTTACCTGGTTTCTGGTGGTCGTGTTGGCTGGCGGTATTGGCTTGCTATCTTGCTCGATGGCTGTCTTCAAGCACGCTCTGGCGGGAGGAGAATGATATACTGTTTCCCAGCCCCATTGCTCCCTAGCCTGCCCTTTTGTGTCCGTGCGAGGAGCACTCTGGGGCTGCACTGCTGCCCGTAGGCGCTGCGACTGCTACGGCCACCACTGGCTCCTACCAGCCCCCTATTGGCTTCCATTCCTATCCCTTACTTACTTGCTCACCGCCCAGTCCAAGTCCGTCTGGCCATCACTCAATCACCATCTGGGTACCACACCGCGCCCTCCCAGGGAAGTGACTGACAGGTCCTAGCGCTGACCAGCCTCCTTGGCTGAGTGTCGAGCAGCGTGTGATGTGCCCGGAGAGTGCCGGACAGGGATTGCAGCAGCGCCAGAAAAAGGGGGGTTTCACAAGCCGTGCTGAAGACAACGCAGCAAAACCAAAGCACACACAAGCATGTGAGGACTTTTGGTCGCCGATCGTTACCCATAGCAGACAGGCAGAGTTGACATCCGTGCGGCAGAGCACTACTGTACGACTGTCCACTTTGCACCTTGTGACGCCTGGCTTTTTTCGCCGCCAATCATCACCCAAAGCAGACAGGCAGAGTTGACATCCGTGCGGCAGAGCACTACTAAACGACCGTCCACTTTTCATCTTGTGACGCCTGGCCTTTTTCGCCGCCAATCATCACCCAAAGCAGACAGGCAGAGTGGACAGCCGTGCGGCAGAGCACGAAACGACTTGTCAATTTTGCACCTTGTGACGTGCCTGGAACTTTTGTGGCATTTGTCGGTCCGCTTCCTGAAAGCAGGAAGGGCACCCAATAGATGCATGGGAAGTTGGGAAGCTGACCTTTGCACCTGTGTATGTTGTTGCATGTGGAATTTGCCACCTCGCTCCCCCTTGATGGCGCTATTGGACACCCCGCGAAGCATGAAGGGAATCCACCCAACGTGCATGGAAGTTAGAAGTTGACTTTACACCTGTGTGTAGTGCTGCATGTGGAATTTGTCACCTCGCTCCACCTCGCTTCCGCTCGACGGCGCTAACGGACGACCCGCAAAAAGGCAAAAAGCAACAAAGAAAACAACAACAGTGGACCCGGGGGGGGGGGGGGGGGGGGGGCGTTGACATGACCGCTCAATAGCCTTTGCCTACGGAGTCTGGACGCTGATCGACGCCTGTCAAATGCCACAATGTGGAGATTTCCATTGCCCATCACATGGGGATTCATCGTATTCACGCAAGGGTGACAAATTTCGAACCATTTCCAGCTTCAGCGTTGCCTTTTTTGGCACCGTTGTTCAGTTGCCATTGGCTATTGCCCTTTTGTAAGGGGGAGAGAGGTCAGTCACTCACGCACAGACTCGCTGGGTGACCAAGTGCACCCATCAAATGGCATTTCATCGTATCCACGTAAGGGTGACAAATTTCGAGGCATTTTCAGCTTCAGTTGCCTTTCTTGACACCGGTATTCAGTTGCCATTGGCTATTGCACTTTTGCAAGGGGGAGAGCGGTCACTCACTCACGGTCCAGACTCGCCGGATGGAAAAGTTCGAGGCACTTTCAGCTTCAACGTTGCCTTTTGGGCACCGTTGTTCAGTTCCCATTGGCCATTGCACTTTTGCAAGGGGGAAAGTGGTCACTCACTCATGGCACACACGTCACAGACTCCCCGGGTGACCAAGGGACCCCTCGCACGGGCCTGGAGACCCCATGCAAGTCGTCGCTGAAGGGCATGCCCCCGAGTGTTGGGTTTTCTCTCACTTTTTGTCGAAACAGTGTGAAATAGGTGGGTAATGTCGTCGATGCACTCGTCGTCGCTGGCAGCGAGGTGTTGGGCCTTGTTGGTGCTGCCGTTGCGTTGCGTGTATCTATTCCTTGATATATACATATACACATATTCTCTGCCGCCCTCTGTGCTTCAGCAGCTGCGTGGAAAGAGCATTCGGTCATGTGATTCAATGATAATAGCCCCTATTCTCTCTCAGCCACCTAGTACAAGCCTCATCCCACGAGGCGTGGAGGTGTCATTATCTGCACGTATCCGATTGCAGTCCCTGGCACCACCGCTCCACTGTAGTGTCCGTGATACCGCTGCAGCCATAATTTGCGGGGGTAGTACTTCACCTCGTTGCATAGCATCCGATGTAGCAACACTCGGCCGGACATATCGCAGCCGTTGTAGCCAACCCCCCCCCCCCCCCCCCGGAGTTTGACCTGTTTTCCTGCCTTTGTGCTTTGCTTGCTTCGATCTTTCTCACAAAGTTCCTGCGGAATTGGATTGACGGAGTTTTCAGAGTCAATTCACATCAGTTTCAGGCGATCAATCCCGCGTGGCAGTGAATTGGGATGGGAAATTGGGTCGGCGGCATGAATCTCGCACTCCCCCCGTCCCGCCAAATTTACTACTGTCTAGCTGGGCGGGGAGGGTGGTTCAGGCCCCAGCAGCCGATGCTTAGGCTTCGCTTCGGGGTCCAAACCGTGGCTTTCCGGCTCACTTTAGGCGGTGCTTGACCCCCCCAACCTTATGGCCGGAGGGTTAAGCCTATCTCCCACTAAACACGCCGTGCCTCACCACGCCACGCCTAAACCCACGCCTAAGCCCACGCCCACGCCCACGCCCACACCTACGCCTACGCTCTCGCTCTCTCCGCACCACGCCTATCTAGCTTGATCTCACTCTAACTTCGCCGGCTCACTGTTCCGATCTCCGTTGTTCTTTCAGTCTCAATATTGGGTTTTCTGGGGAAAAGACACGAAAGACACGTCCCATTGCGGCGAAATTGTATGGCATTCTCGACAACACAGCAACCACAACGAGAGTGACGGCCACAAACCACGGGGGCATGCCCAAACCCCCTTTTTTTTTTTTTTCCCCCTCCCCTCCCCTCCCCTGCATCTCACCGTCTTTTCTTTCATTTTTTCCCGACGGCGCCAAACCCCACTCCATTTGGTTGAAAATCACGCTACTGATCAGAGTTTGAGCGAGTTAAATTGCTCAAACCGTTGGTTCTCTCTTCTCCGCACGCTTCTGATTGAGTACCACAAAAACATCCAAACCTTCCAACACCAGAAGGCCAATGCCACCTCACTCTCTCTTGGCACAGTCCGATGGCACATGTTTTTTTTCTTTGTGGCCGGACTTTCAGCTGATCCAGTGGAAATGGCATCAGTTTGGGTGGTAGAGCAAATCACAGCGCGGTGGGAGTCCGCACCAGCGCTTGGATCGCCAATAGTCTCGCACTCTTTCTTGGTCAGATGAGGAAACCTCTGGCTCTGTAAACTAAACGTGTCCGTAGCACATGGTACCGAGGAGTCCCAACACTTCCAGGTTGCTCGTTGAGCGAAGGTCCTCTGGATGCACTCAGAAGGGCGGGGGAAAGACGAAGAAGGGGCATATAAACCGTCTCATCCCCCCGCTTTCCTCTCCTTCAACCCTCTTCCATCACTCCATCTTTGGTCAACATCTTTCTCCCTGTGGAGGCTCTTCTCAGCCTGCACCCCTCAGCCTCATCCCTTCGCTGCACGTCAGTCATCCTCATTGGTCAGTTGTCCTCCAGTATTGTTGTTTGACGTCATCCCCAACCACGTCGTTGCTGCCGCGTGCTTGCTTTCACATTCAGCCCTGTTCTCTCCTTGGTCAGACGCAGCCTTCATCCCTTGAGGCACACCCAATGTCGTCCACCCCCTTTGACATCTCATCGTCGTGCAATCTCTTCAAACATCAGCATCGTTTCTGCCCTTCACAATGCTGAGTTGTTTGTTCAGTTGAGACCACAGCCCTCATCCACATCCTCAAGACTTCGTCCACATCCTCAACACCTCATCTACATCCTCAACACCTCAGCTACATCCTCAACACCTCGTCCATATCCTCAAGACCTCGTCCACATCCTGATCAAGACCTCATCCACATCCTCAAGACTTCGTCCACATCCTCAACACCTCATCTACATCCTCAACACCTCATCCACATCCTCAACACCTCATCTACATCCTCAACACCTCATCCACATCCTCAACACCTCATCCACATCCTCAAGACCTCTCTGTCTGACAACAACCTCCACGGGTCCCAGCTCGCGTTCCCTCTGTCCACCTCCATGTCCTACCCACAGGACAGACAAACACAGCCGGAGACAACACTCCCACCATCCCCCGGTCTGCCGCCGACCGTCAACGAATCTCTCACCCCCCTCACCGAACCAAGCCACCGTCTCTTGAGACGTGAAGACCTCGAGGCACTTGAACAGGCCAGAATACGCCACGACGCGATGCAACAAGCGGCGATCCATCATCCTAACGAGATGATTCCGTACAGCCACCACCCGTGGAGCGCAGGCTACCTGTGGCCAAACCACACGTACCAGCCGCCGCCATACCCCGCCCCCCAGCCGTGGAACACCGCCTCTGCGTACCCTCCAAGCTACACGTCGGCATACAGCGTCCCTCAGCAGCCGGCAAGCAACGCCTACCACGAGCCAATGTCTCGGCACCTACCGCCTCTACCTGTTCACCCGCCCCTCCAGCCTTCTCGCTCGCCGCCAGCCGGGACACCGTCCCCTCCGCATCATCTTCCACCCCTTCGCACCAACCCTGAACCCCCTCGCTTTGTCGGGACACGCTCAGCGCGCAGGGGGGGACGCGTGGCGCCTGACCACACATCGAGCTGGGAACAACCACACAGACAAGCACAACAAGATCCACGTCGACATTATGGTCGCAGCCGTAGCCGAAGTCCTACATGGACTGTTGACTGGAGTGTTGAGTGGATTCCTGACCGCAGGCACGGCCAAGGCCAAGGTCGAGGTCGAGGACGAGGTCGAGGTCGCGGTCGCGGTCGTGGTCGTGCAGCAAGGGCCATGCCCAACAACAACGCACACAACCAAGGAGCACAATACAATGCCTGGCACGGCCAAGGCACAGATCCCATGTCCGATGAGGAACGGGACACCACACAACACCGCCGCGCCGCACAAAGCCCAGCTACACAGCCGCCCTCCACGATCGGGGAAGGCACAAACACCATGTCCGATGCCGAACACAGCCAGGCCACACAAGGCCCTCCGGGACAACAAGAAGATCGGCAAGGTGATCATCCTCCCACGGGAGACGAAACGACTGATGTTGGCCGTGGCAGAAACCGAGCCAGCCCTTTCCGCGCACCAGAGATGATGCCCCAAGACAACAGCGCCGGGGATACGACTCCTCTCACTTCCTCCACCCCTGAACTTACCGATAACGACGATAATGCAGAGTGGGCCCCATTCCTGGTTCCGTCTCCTGAGCCGGAATCTGTCATGATAATCCCTTGGAATCCTAACAGACGCCCCCAGGTACCTGCTGGGCCAGGTTTCCGAGTGCGAAGCACCGTGGCGGCGTTGCGTTGATTCTCTGCACCAAACGCGAGATTACCCCGGCGGGCTCGCCATTGTTCGGGATGCCGGTGCCGTGTGACAAGCACGCTCTCACAGTTTGGGGTTTGGCCGCCCATAACTGAAGTTACCAAGGCACTGCCGTCCCTGTCCTTGTCGTTTTCGCCTTGTGTTCGGTCTCGTCTTGTATTCGGTCTCGCCTTGTTTTTTATCAGCAGCCACACCATCAATGACAGTCGAATGTCACAAAAACATTGCCTTCTGTTCGGTCTCGCCCTGCGTTTTATCAACAGCCACACCATCAATGACACTCGAATGTCACGAAAGCATCGCCTTGTGTTCGGTCTCGTCCTGTATTCGGTCTCGCCTTGTTTTTTATCAGCAGCCACACCATCAATGACACTCGAATGTCACAAAAACATCGCCTTGTGTTCGGTCTTGCCTTCTGTTCGGTTTCGCCTTGTCTTTTATCAGCAGCCACGCCATCAATGACAATCGAATACATACTTGAAAGTTTACCAAACAACCAATGTACAGGTGAGGGCGAGGACGGCAGGCCTTTTCCAAAGGTCATTGCCTAGCCCTCGCCTGTTGGGGGGAGGGGGCTCCGG